CATTGTCACTTTAAATATGTTCGGTGGAGCTAGATCTTCCCTGATCCTGTTGAAAATTTATTTAGAGATCATGATTTTTTTTTATCACACCTACAAATGGTTTCAGCTCAGTAATAACAATGTCCAGTCTTCATGGCTGAGCAAAAATTAAGACTTCTTCCTCTGCTTCGATCTGTTTACAGTTTATGCCAAATTGTATTTTCCAAAAGTGAGTGCAACTATATTTTTGGTCCCACATGGTCTTCCAGAACCTTGCCACTTTCCCATCAGAAAGTGGAGACAATTTCCCCTTTCCACTGAATCTGGATGGACCTTTTAAATTGTGAGTACAGTGGAAATGATGCTATGTGATTCTGAGGCTAGGTGTAAAACATGATAGAGCTTCCATCTGGATCTTTCTTGGGACTCTTGCCTTTAGAACCTTGAGCTGCAGTGTAAAATGTCTGAGTCTACCATGCTGTTAAGAAGCCCAAACTAGCCCACACAGAGAGACCACATGGAGAAACCCTAAGATTACATGAAATAAGAGAGATGTCCAACCAGCTCCCAGTGGCTCCGGGAACTCTGCACTCTTCCAGGTTCAGCTATCATGAAAAATTTGAGCCAAAACTGTCCATCCAAATTGTTCCAGAATTCCTGACCCAGAGAAACCATGAAAGATAGTAAATGATTGCTGTTGTTTGAAACCATTAAACTTGACAGACTGGATATACAAACAGACAATGACAGATCGTATATGCCAACAGAATTCTGACCTACAAACTCTGCAGCAACCAACTAGTTTCCAATCAGGAAACCAAACTAAACCTTGGCAGTGATCAGCCCACAACATTCAGGCTTTGGATAATGACTGCTAGCTCCCCTCCCACTTTCTTTTTTTTTTTTTTTTTTTGCCTCTGCTTCCAGTTCAGGACCAACCAGAGAAAGCCAAATTCGATCCCAAACCAGTCATATAATATGCACTGCTTCTTTTTAGCTCACCTCCAGCGTCTCTATGCCAATAATCTCCAATCACTGTATTCCTGAAGCCTTCCCTTTTTTTTTTTTTTAAGATTTTATTTATTTATTTGAGAGCGAGAGAATGAGAGACAGAGAGCACGAGAGGGAAGAGGGCAGAGGGAGAAGCAGACCCCCTGCCGAGCAGGGAGCCCGATGTGGGACTCGATCCCAGGACTCCAGGATCATGACCTGAGCCGAAGGCAGTCGCTTAACCAACTGAGCCACCCAGGCGCCTTTTTCACTATAAAGTTTTCCTACTCCCCTGCCTGCCTTTGAGCTCTGCCAAACACAGGTGATGGTGGTTGTAATACCAGTAATTTGAAACAACCTAATGATAACAAGATAAGACAATTACATAAGTGGCATGTAGAATTTACAAAATATTATGGAAGAACACTTCGTGTTCATATATATTTGATTTAAAAAGCAGGTTAGGGGAGGGTATGTGCTATGGTGAGCGCTGTGAATTGTGTAGGACTGTTGAATCACAGACCTGTACCTCTGAAACAAATAATACATTATATGTAAAAAAAAAAAAAAAAAAAGAAGAAGATAGCAGGAAGGGAAAAATGAACAGGGGGAAGTTAGAGGGGGAGACGAATCATGAGAGACTATGGACTCTGAGAAACAAACTGAGGGTTCTAGAGGGGAGGAGGTGGGGGCATGGGTTAGCCTGGTGATGGGTATTAAAGAGGGCAAGTACTGCATGGAGCACTGGGTGTTATACTCAACAATGAATCATGGAACACTTTAACATTAACATAATTAACATTAACATAACATAATTAAAATCAAATAATTAATAATAATTAATAATTAAACAATTAATCATTAATCATTAAATAATAAATCATTTTTTTAAAGGCAGGTTAAGCTGACATAAATAGGGGCGCCTGGGTGGCTCAGTTGGTTAAGCGACTGCCTTCAGCTAAGGTGATCCTGGAGTCCCAGGATCGAGTCCCAGGATCGAGTCCCAGGATCGAGTCCCAGGATCGAGTCCCAGGATCGAGTCCCAGGATCGAGTGCGACATCGGGCTCCCTGCTCGGCAGGGAGTCTGCTTCTCCCTCTGACTCTCCCCCCTCTGGTGCTCTATCATTCTCCCTCTTTCAAATAAATAAATTAATACAAATCTTAAAAAAAAGATGACGTCAATATTCACATAAAAGATATAAGCTTAAATACAGCCAAGTGTGAACAGACTAATTACAGGCATTTTTTACATCTGACTGTAGACCGCGGAGGCACGTGTCTGTCTTTGTGCGGGTGCGCCCAGCCCCCAGGAGCGGGACCACCACTGCTTAGACTCTGCGTTCACCCAGGCGAGTCTCGCCTCCGGGAGGGGTACGGAGCGCGCCCGGCCTGCGCGGGGGCTTCTGGGAGTTGTGGTCCAGCCGCCAGGCCCCCGCGCCGGGGCGCCAGCTGCTGGGCCTTCTCGGTCTGAAGCGCGGGTGGGCTGGGCCGTTCTCGGGGACGCGGCCACGAAGGTCTCGTGGCGGCCTCCGTGCCCAAGACCTCCCAGGCGGACGCCCGGAGAGGTGAGTCCGCCAGTCTTACGGGCTGAGGGCGGCGGGGATAGCGGAGAGTACCCGGGTCGTGCGAAGGGGGACCAGGGAAAACCGAACGTTCGGGGCTCGCAGGGTCTGGGCGGCGACATGGGGGGTTCTTGGTTCTATTGAGATGCGCGGATGGCTGCGACTGTGTGTTCCCGGGTTGGTGAGCTGTGATGCATCCTTGGGTTGGGGGGAGGGTGGGCAGAAGCCAGGGGTCCCTTGGATAAATCTCGCCCGGGCATTTTGGTTTGGGGGGGCAGCTGGGCCATGGGAACCCCAGGTTGGTGGAGAGAGGACAGTGAGGTAGGGTACAGGGGTTTGGGGGGGACCGTCTAGGGCTGCATGTTCTTAGGTGTTTGTGGGAGTGGCTAGATCTGTGCATTCTCGGGTTTGGGCGATGAGGGAGGAGTTAGTAAGTGGATGCCCCTGCCCAGGTATCTTCAACAGAGAATTCTCCATACTCTTGGCCAGAAAGGCTAGAGGGGTGTTGTTTTCACTTTGTTGTCCCAGTGGAAGTTATGGCCCCAGATGTTAAAGGTGGAGGTGCCCCAGTTGTGAATTTGGTATCCCAGGCCACCCCTGAGTCACAGACTGGCTATATTAAGCAAAGCCCCTCTGAGTGCAGAGATTGAAGGACATGCGAGTTCTCCATTCTTCACGGTCTTGCAGGTGGACTTTGGTTCTTGACGCTTTTCTTTTTACATTTTTATTTTAATTCCAGTTAACATACAGTGTTATATTAGTTTCAGGTGTACAATATAGTGATTAATACTTCCATATATCACCTTGTGCTCATTACAGGTGCACTCGTTAATGCCCATCACCCATTTAATCCTTCCCCCACCCCCCTTCCCTCAGGTAACCATCAGTTTCTTCTCTATAATTGAGTTGGTTTCTTGATTTCTCTCTCTCTCTCTTATTGTTTTCCCTTTGCTTTTTTGTTTTGTTTCTTATTTCTACATGAGTGAAAGCATATAGTATTTATCTTTCTCTGATTTATTTTGCTTAGCATTGTACTCTGTAGTTGCATCTATGTCGTTGCAAATGGCAAGATTTCATTCTTTTTATGGCTGAATAATATTCCATTGTATATATATACTGCCTCTTCTTCATCCATTCATCAACTGATGGACACTTGGGCTGCTTCCATATCTTGCCTATTGTAAACAGTGCTGCTAGAAACATCACGGTGCCTGTATCTCTTTGAATGAGTGTTCTTGTAGTCTTTGCATAAATACCCAGTAGTGTAACTGCTGGATCGCAATGTAGTTCTATTTTTAACTTTTTGAGGAACCTCCATACTGTTTTCCGCAGTGGCTACACCAGTTTGCATTCCCACCAGCAGTGCAAGAGGGTTCCTTTATCTCTACATCCTCACCAACACTTGTTGTTTGTTGTGTTGTTGATTTTAGCCATTCTGACAAGTGTGAGGTGATATCTCATTGTACTGTTGATTTGCATTTCCCTGATGATGAGTGATGTGGAGCATCTTTTCATGTGTCTGTTGGCCATCTGTATGTCTTCTTTGGAGAAATATCTGTTCATGTCTTCTGCCCGTTTGTTAATTGGATTATTTGTGTTTTGTTTTGTTTTTAAAGATTTTATTTATTTATTTATTTGAGAGAGAGAGAGAGAGAGAGAAACAGCATGAGAGGGAAGAGGGTCAGAGGGAGAAGCAGGCTCCCCGCCAAGCCGGGAGCCCGATGTGGGACTCGATCCCAGGACTCCGGGACCATGACCTGAGCCGAAGGCAGTCGCTTAACCAACTGAGCCATCCAGGCGCCCTGGATTATTCGTGTTTTGGGTGTTGAGTTTTATAAGTTCTTTATATATTTTGGATACTAACCCTTTATTGGATATGTTTTTTACAAATATCTTCTCCCATTCCATAGGTGTCTTTTGGTTTTGTTGATTGTTTCCTTTGCTGTGCAGAAGCTTTTTATTTTGATATAGTCCCAATAGTTTATTTTTACTTTTGTCTCCTTGCCTGAGGAGACATATCTAGAAAGAAGTTGCTATGGTCGACGCTAAAGAAGTTACTGCCTATGTTCTCTTCTAGGATTTTTATCGTTTCAGGTCTCCATTTAGATCTTTAATCCATTTTGAATTTATTTTTGTGTATGGTGTAAGAAAGTGGTCCAGTTTCATTCTTTTGCATGTCGCTGTCCAGTTTTCCCAACACCATTTGTTGAAAAGACTGTCCTTTTCCCATTGGATAGTCTTTCCTGCTTCATTGAAGATTAATTGGCCATATAATTGTGGGTTTATTTCTGGATTTTCTATTGATGCTTTTATTTTCCTTTTAGGTGAGGGTGGATCTGCACAGACTGGGTATGAGGATTTCTGGCATGTGACTCAATCCTCATTTCTCCCAGCTCCCTATTCTGCCCTCTTTGGAATCTGCTGGCCCTGAGTGATCTGTGAAGAGAGGAGAAAATGGCCCCCAGGTTCCTGGCAGCAAGACCCCCAGTGAGTGGGATTTAACCTCTTTCGTGTAGTAATCCCTGTCCCCGGTTAGGGGACATGTTTGTTCACTGCCTTGCGGAGCCCACCAGGACTCTAAGACAAACATGAAACATGGCACAGCTTTAGGATACTCCAGAGGAGAGCCCACTCTCCCTCCTCAATGCACTCCCCCAACCCCACCACCATATCAGAGCCCTGGCACACCTTAACCTTTGCCCCTACTTCCATTAATTTAGGTCACAAATGGTCCAGTATCTCTTCCACAAGCCCCAGTGTCTACCGTGTACATTGAGAAGTACTGTCCTTTCTTGCAGGCTTTGTAGGCCTTGTTAAAATGGTTTTTGTTTGGTTTTGTTTTTTACTGCAATGGATTTTAAAATTTAAATGATATCAAATTTACAGAAGAATTGCAATAACAGTACAAAGAACACCAATATTGCCTTTACTTGTATTCATCAATTGCCAGCTTTTTGTCACAGTTACTCTATCATTGCATCTCTGTGTATTTATCATTTTCTGAATCATTTGAGGCTAAATTGTGGACATGATCATGTCTTTTACCTTTAATTACCTTGGCACGCATCTTCTATAAGCAAGAACAGCCCCTTAAATGACCATAGTATAATTTAGAAAATTTAACCGTGATACAGTACTATTGTCTGATCTCTAACCCATAATTAAAATTTGCCAGTTGTCTTAATTACTTTCTTTATGGCCTTTTCCCCTTTGTTTCCTCTCTTTAGTCTTCTTTAATCTGGAACACTTTCTTTTTATTTTTTTAAAGATTTTATTTATTTATTTGACAGAGAGAGACACAGCGAGAGCAGGAACACAAGCAGGGGAGTGGGAGAGGGAGAAGCGGGCTTCCCACCGAGCAGAGAGCCCAATGAGGGGCTCGATCCCAGAACTCCAGGATCATGACCTGAGCTGAAGACAGACGCTTAATGGCTGAGCCACCCAGGCGCCCCTCTCTGTCTTTCTTGATCATGATTTTTGATCATGATTTTTGATGAGTGCAGGCTCAGCTGTTCTGTAGAATGTTCCTCAGTTAAGATTTATTTGATAGTCCTTCATGATTAGATTTAGGTTTTACACTTTTGGCAGGAATGATGCAGAAGTGACTTGTCCTCAGTGTGTCATATCAGATAGCACATAATATTGATTTGTTTCATTACTAGTGATATTAACTTTGGTGACTTAAATTAATGTAGGGTTGGGGTGCTTGGGTGGCAGTCAGTTAAGTTTTCAACTCTTGATTTTGGCTCATGTCATGGTCTCAGGGTCCTGGGATCGAGCCTGTGTCAGGCTCCATGCTTGGTGCAGAGTCTCCTTGGGATTCTCTCTCTCCCTCTCCCTCTGCCTCTCTTCCTGTTTGCACTCCCTCCCTCTCTCTCTCTATCTCCCTCTGCCCCTCTTCCTGCTTGCACTCCCTCCCTCTCTCTCTCTATAAATAAAATAAAATAAAATCTTTTAAAAAATTAATGTAGGGTCTCCCAGTTTTTTCCACTGTAAAGTTTCTCTTTGGGGGTTGGAGAGGAAGAGGCAGACCTCTTAAGCCAGCTTGTCACTGTCATGTGGAAGGTACATCAAAGCCTATAAGGACAGTAAAAAGCTCAGTGGTTACCAGGGTTGACAGGAAGTGGTGAGTAGGAAGAGTGCAGAGGATTTTTAGGGCAGTGAAAATACTCTGTATGATACCATAATAATGGATATATATCATTATACATTTGTCCAAACCCATAGAATGTACAAAATCAAGAGTGAACTCTAATGTAAACTATGGACTTTGAATCTCAAGCTTATTCTCCTGATTCATACAATGTGGTGTGGGCAGCACTCTGGAATTGTGTAGCTTTGGGTGTACTCTGGTTGAAGTTTGAGTCTTCCCATCAAAGAAACTTTAAGGGCTGGAGAGCTTTAAATGTGTCTCATATGTCTCATATGTCTTTTCCATCTTCTACAAAATATAATGGAAGCAGGTGCATGGATGTTTGCCAAAATCAGGACCCTAGAAACCATCAAGATTCACTGTACTTGTCAACTGCATTACTCTGTGGGAATGGGTATGTCTGTGTGTGACTATGTCTGTCATTTTAACAGCTGGTGACATTCAAGGATGTGGCTGTGGACTTTGCCCAAGAGGAGTGGGAACATCTGGACGCTTCTCAGAGTCACTTGTACGGAGAAGTGATGTTGGAGAACTATGAGAATCTCATCTCCTTGGGTGAGCACAGCATCTTCCCGAACCCATCTGCTCTCACAGTGGGTTCAACCAAATGGATTAAATCCCGAGGGGATTAGCATTTGGGCACCCACATATTCCAGATCCCTTATAGCAGAAGGTATCAGATTTGAGAGTGCAGAAAAATACCTGATCATTAGAAATGCCAGTTCCTGTCCAACTTAAAGAAGATTAAAGACACATTACAACTAAATGCAATGCTAAAAAATGTCCAGGAAGAGTGCCAAAAGGGACATACTGGCGTCTTTTGCAAATTAACTGGATTACGTAAAATACTGTGTCAATGTTAAGTCCCCTGATTTTGATGACTGCGCTGCTGTTATGGGGGAGAATGTCCTTGTTCTTAGGAAATACCTACTAAGAATTGGGTCCTAGAGAGCCATGGGGCCTACAACTTTCTCTCAGATGGTTTTAGAAAAGAATTGTGTGTGTGGAGAGAGAGAGAAAGTAATAAAGTAAACGGGCCAAACAATAACAACTGGTGAATATGGGTCAGGGTTCTATGGGTGTTCTTGGTGTTACTCTTGCTACTTTTCTATAAAGTACGAGGTTATCCAAAAAACCTACAACCCTGGCTTCTATCACCAGCGCTACTGATTCAGTGGATTTGGGATGGAGTCTGCATTTTTGACAAGTTTCTTCAAATCATACTTGGGGCTGCACTTCCTCGGCCTCATCACTGCCTATTCAACCCATTGAGCATTATTACTGTTTTATATTGCAAATGGGTCTCTTCACTGAAGTTCCCAAGAATTCCTGGAACTTTCCTTGTTTAGGGAATATATATACATATTTGTAAGTGTATAAGTAAATGCAAAATGTGATATTAATGTATAGTAGGTTTATTCACCTTTCTCAGTCTTCAGAGGATCTTCACGGATACCAAGGCCTAGATTTGACTTGTGTGAGGGTCCTTAGTCACATTGCAGGGCCCTAATCCACATGTCTTTCCCCTCAAGCAGGGCATCTGCTGTCCAAACCGGAAATGATTTTCTATTTTGAACAAGAAGATGGTGTATGGATGGAGGAAGAAATGCCAAGAAGCTCCTATTCAGGTGAGAACCAGTCAGCCAGGAGTAAATGCCATCAGTAACCCACGAATCCATGAAGGGATGGGTAGCAATTTTAAAAATACATCTTGTTTGACTTTTTATGCTTTTCATTTAGTTGAAAATATTTAAATATTTTTTTGATTGGAGACAAATACCTTTGTTTATAAAAGCATTAAATGCTCAGGCTCCATACATGCTTAAGAACCAGCCTTACCATCTTATTGGTTCCTCATTAAAATTTTTGACAGATGTTCACTCCATATTTGGGGTGTGTGTGTGTGTGTGTGTGTGAATGAAGTAAGCTCTACCCCCAACACATGGCTTGAATTCACAACCCTGAGATCAAGAGTCGCCAGCTAGGTGCCCCTGTTCACTTCATATTTGTAAAAGTTATCTTTTTAACTTTTTGATAATTATGCTTTAACAACACTAACACATTTGTAGTTCACAGAGTTTAATCAAGTGTTTTAGTAACACTTCATTTCCTCACTAAGGAAAGGGTTCTCCGTATGTTCCCTTTACCCCTGAAGCAAAAATGAAAAACCCAAGGTCAAGAGGACAAAGACCAGCAGCCCAACACTTCTCTACTTTGCGAAGCTTCTCAGCCTTACCAGCGCTGCCTGAGAGTGTGTCCAGAGTGTGCACCATGCAGCTTTGGACAAAACCCCTGCTCGCTTCATCATCTAATTTTTTTTGTCCCAGGTGTCAGGGATGAGAATGATGGGATTCTCCCTTGGCAGACATCTCCAAGAGAAAAACCCTACAGCTGTCCCCAGTGTGGCCAAGACTTCAGACAGCTCAGAAACCTTCTACTTTACCAGCAAACCCATACAGGAGAGAAGCCCTCTCCATACGCTGGGCGTGGAAGAGCCTTCAGGGTAAGGACAGCAGACCTTAACTTTCCCAGGCTCCTTCCCAGAGAAAAGGCCTACCAATGCATGGAGAGTTCCAGAGTCTCCAACTCAGGAGCCACTCTGAGAAGGCACAGGAAGGACCACATGTGAGGAATGTGGGAAGGACTTCAGCTGCAGCTCCAACCTGTCCATCCACCGGCGCGTCCACACGGGCGAGAGGCCCTTCAGGTGCCAAGACTGCGACAAGGACTTCAGCCGCAGGGCAGCCCTGCAGACCCACCAGACGTCCACGTAGAAAGGAAGCCCCACGTAGGAAGGAAGCCCCATGCTTGTGAGGTGTGTGGCCGGGGCTTCACGCTGCACTCTACACTGGCAGGACCGTGCAGGAGACAAGGGCTATGTGTGTAACAGATATGGCTGGGGTTTCAGCCAGAGAGCCAGCCTCTACCTGCACCAGTGCGTCCATACTGGAGAGAGACTATTCGGCGTGAGGCCTGAGGGAAGCAGTTCGGCCGGAGCAAGGACCTGGGCATCCACCAGAGGGTCCACACGGGAGAGTAGCCCTACCGGTGTGGGGCTTGTGAGAGGGACTTCAGGCACTGTTCAGCCCTCAGGAGCCACCAGAGGGCGCACAGGGGAGAAGCCCTATCCCTGTGCCGTGTGTGGGAAGGGGTTCAGTCAGAGAGTCCACCTGTAGATGCACCAGAAGGTGCACCGTAGGGAGAGGCTTTTGGGACTGGGCGTCGCCAAATGTCAGAACAGCAGTTGTCTGCAAGGTGCCTTCCAGAGCCCGGGGGAATGCCAGGGCATGGGTGCTGAGATACACGGCATGGCAGGCTTAACGGTATAGGGCATTTATTCCTGTTTAGATGGGAAAGATGTCATAGTATGCAGGTTGGTAGATTTTCACAAAGTGAACACACCCGTGTCCAGCCCCTGACTGGAGAAACGGAATATTTCCAGCTCTTCCTAGAGACGTCTGCCTGCTCCCTTCTGCTTGGCCCCCTACAAAGGAAATCACTCTCCGGACTTCTAAAACCATATATTTTGCAAGTTCTAGAATATCATGTAAGTGGAATTTTACAGCATGTAGTCTTTTATGTAGGACTTCATTCACTCAGTGTTTGCAGGAATCACCCATGTTGTTGCAGGTACTCTTTTTTTTTTTTTTAAAGATTTTATTTATTTATTTGACAGAGAGAGACACAGCGAGAGAGGGAACACAAGCAGGGGGAGTGGGAGAGGGAGAAGCAGGCTCCCCGCAGAGCAGGGAGCCCGATGCGGGACCGTGGGATCATGACCTGAGCTGAAGGCAGTTGTTTAACCAACTGAGCCACCCAGGCGCCCTGTTGCAGGTACTCTTAAGTTCATCTATTTTATTACTAAATAGTATTCCATACAACACAAGTGCAGTTTGTCCGTTCGCTTGTTGGTGGACATTTACATTTGGACATTTGGGTTGTTTCCAGTTTTTGGCTTTATAAATAAAGCTGCTGTGAACATCTGGGTACACATATACTCTGTGTGGACATATACTTTAATTTCTTTGGGGTATTTATAGGAGTAGAATTGACAAGTATTCTAAAACTTTTTCAAAAACTGAATTTATTGAAGTCTTAAAACACATGATTAACTTTTACTATATGTCAATAGAGAGGAAATAATTATGCAATTTAACAATGTTATCTTGCACATTGGATTTTTACATGTACCTGGAAATTTTCAAACAAATATAGAAAAAGAGCAGTGTAACAAACTCATGTCCCCATCATCTAGCTACTCATGATGAATTGTCTCCCTTATTCCATCCTCCTCCCTCACACACACAATCCTGGAGTATTTTAAAGCAAATCCTAGACTATGATATTGTTTCATCTTTAAATACTTTTGTATATATCTTCAAAAAATAAATATTTATTTAAAATTTTTTTTCAAAGAATTATCCTTTGCTTTAAAATTTTTTTATTGAGGTAAAATTCAGGTAACATAAAATTTACTATTTTAACGTTTCAGAGAACACAGCCGAGTAGTTTTAGTACATTTACAAAGTTGTCTAACCATCACCACCGTCTACTTCCAGGGCATTTTCTTTTTTTTTTTTTTTTTGAAGATTTTATTTATTTATTTGACAGAGAGACAGCGAGAGAGGGAACACAAGCTGGGGAGTGGGAGAGGGAGAAGCAGGCTTCCCGCAGAGCAGGGAGCCCGATACGGGACTCGATCCCAGGATCCTGGGATCATGACCTGAGCCGAAGACAGACACTTAACGACTGAGCCACCCAGGCGCCCTCCAGGGCATTTTCATCAGGCCAAAAAGAAAACCCCTTACTGTTAAGCAGTCGCTCCCCATTCTTCCCTCCCACCTACCTCTGGCAACCACTAACTTACTTTCTGTCCCTATAGATTTGCCTATTCTGGGCATTCGATATAAATGGAATCACAAACTATGTGGCCTTTTATGGCTGCTTTCACTTCGCATAATATTTTCACGGTTCATCCCCGTTGTAGCAGGTGTCCATACTACATTCCTTCTTATGGCTGAACAATATTCTATTGTATGGATATGGCACATATTTTATCCATTCTTCAGTTGATGGACATTTGAGTTGTTTCCAGTTTGGAGCTATTATGAAAAATGTTATGATGAACATTCAATTCATGTACAAGGTTTTCATTGAGTATAGGCATTTAATTCTCTTGGATATATGTGGAAGAGTGGAATTCATGGATCATGTGATCATTCTATCTTTTTTTTTTTTTTAAAGATTTTATTTATTTATTTGAGAGAGAGAGAGAATGAGAGACAGAGAGCACGAGAGGGAAGAGGGCAGAGGGGGAAGCAGACCCCCCGCTGAGCAGGGAGCCCGATCCCGGGACTCCAGGATCATGACCTGAGCCGAAGGCAGTCGCTTAACCAACTGAGCCACCCAGGCGCCCGATCATTCTATCTTTCGCTTTTTGAGGAGCTGCCAAATTGTTTTCCATAGTGGTTACACCATCTTACTTTGCCACTAGCAATGTATGAGGATTCCGGTTCCTCCACATTTTCACCAACAATTGTCATTCCCCGTCCTCCCCCCACCCTTTTTTTAAATCCTAATCCCATTGGTAGCTGTGAAGTGGTATCTTACTGTGGTTTTGATTTACATTTCTGTAATTACTAATGATGTTGAGTTTCTTCTCATGTGTTTATTGGCCATTTGTATATCTTTTTTAGGGAAATCTCTATTCAAGTCCTTTGCCCATTTTAAAACTGGATTATCTTTTTGTTGTTGAACTGTAAAAATTATTTATATGTTACTATCATTTGCAAATATGGTCTCCCATTCTGTGGGTTGTATTTTCACTTTCTTGGTGGTTTCCTTTGATGCACAAGTTTTTAATTTTGATGAAGTCTAATTTATTTGCTTTTTTCTTGATATTTGTGCTTTTGATGTTCTATTTAAGAAATGGTTACCTAGGGGGCGCCTGGGTTGCTCAGTTGGTTAGGCGACTGCCTTCGGCTCAGGTCATGATCCTGGAGTCCCTGGATCGAGTCCCGCATCGGGCTTCCTGCTCGGCAGGGAGTCTGCTTCGTCCTCAGACCCTATCCCCTCTCAGGTGTTCTCTCTCTCTCATTCTCTCTCTCTCAAATAAATAAATAAAATCTTTAAAAAAAAAAAAAAAAAGAAATGGTTACCTAGGGGGTGCCTGGGTGGCTCAGTCGTTAAGCGTCTGCCTTTGGCTCAGGTCATGATCCCAGGGTCCTGGGATCGAGCCCCGCATCGGGCTCCCTGCTCGGCAGAAAGCCTGCTTCTCCCTCTCCCACTCCCCCTGCTTGTGTTCCCTTTCTCTCTGTGTCTCTCTCTGTCAAATGAATAAATAAAATCTTTAAAAAAAAAAAAAAGAAATGGTTACCTAGGGACGTCTGGGTGGCTCAGTCAGTTAAGCATCTGCTTTCGGCTCAGGTCATGATCCCACAGTTCTGGGATCAAGCCCCACATCAGGCTTCTTGCTCATCGAGGAGCCTGCTTCTCCCTCTGCCTGCCACTCTCCCTGCTTGTACTCTCTCTCTCTCTCTCTGATGAACAAATAAATAAAATCTTCAAAAAAAAAAAAAAGAAAAGAAATGGTTACCTAATACAAAATCACAAAATTTTATACCTATATTTCCTTTTAAGAGTTTCATAGTTTTAGCTCTTACATTTATGTCCTTGATCCATTTATAGTTTTTATACGGTATAAGGTAGGGGTCCAAGTTCCTCCTTTTACATGTTGATACCCAATTGTCCCAGCACCATTTGTTGAAAAGACTATTCTTTCCCCACTGAATAGTCTTGCACACTTGTTGAAAATCAATTGACCTTAGATACATGGGTTTATCTCTAGCTTCCCAATTCAATTTCATTGATATATGTCTAGCCTTTGCTAGTACCATACTGGTTTGATTCTGTAACATTGTAGTAAGTTTTGAAAACAGGAAATGTGAGTCTTCCAATTTTCTTATTTTTCAAGATAATTTTGGCCATTCTGAGTCCTTTGCAACACCATATAAATTTTAGGATCAGCTTGTCCATTTCTGCAAGAGAAGGCCATTGGGATTTTGATAGGGATTGCATTGGATCTGCAGTAACTTTGGGGAATATTGCCATCTTAACAACATTAAGGCTTACAATCCATGAACACAGGATTTCTTTCCATTTATTTAAGTCTTTAATTTCTTTCAACAGTGTTTTATATTTTTCGGTATACAAATCTTTCACCTTGTTAGGTAAAGTTAAGAATCTTGTTTTAAATTTCATTTTGGGATTGTTCATTACCAGTATATAGAAATACAACTGATTTTTGAACATTGATTTTTGTATCCTGCAACTTTGCTGAACTCATTTATTAGGTCTAATAATTTTTAGTGGATTATTTAGAGTTTTCTATATACAAGATCATATTATCTGTGAACAGAGATAGTTTTTGCTTTTTTCCTTTCCAATTTGGATGACTTTTACTTCTTTTTCTTGCCCAGTTGCCTTGGCTAGAACTTCCAGTATGATGTTTAAGAGAAGTGGCAAGAGCAGACATCCTTGTCTTGTTCCTTGTCTTAGAGGAGAAAGCTTTCACTATTAATTTTCATAGATGCCCTTTTCTCTTTGTTCTATTAATATGATATATTTCATTCATGGATTTTCCTATGTTGAACCCAGCCTTACATTCCTGGGATACATCCCACTTGGTCATGGTGCATAGTTTTTAAATTTATTTATTATTTATTTATTTATTTTTAAAATTTCATTTATTTATTTGAGAGAGAGAATGAGGTAGAGAGCATGAGAGGGGGAGGGTCAGAGGGAGAAGCAGACTCCCCACTGAGCAGGGAGCCCGATGTGGGACTCGATCCTGGGACTCCAGGGTCATGACCTGAGCCGAAGGCAGTCGCCCAACCAACTGAGCCACCCAGGCGCCCCTGCATAGTTTTTTTATATGCAGCTTAATTCAATTTGCTAGTATTTTATTGAGGATTCTTACATTTCTATTCATAAAGAATATTGGTCTTAGTTTTCTGTGATGTATTTATCTGGCTTTGATATTAGGGTAATACTGGTCTCATAGAATGAATTTGGAAGCATTCTCTTCTTTTCTATTTTTTTGGAAGAGTTTCAGAAGTATTGGTGCTAATTCTTTAAATGTTCGGTAGAATTCACCAGTAAAACCACAGTAGACCATGTCTATTTGTTAGACGTTTTCTTAGTCATTTTGTGGTACTATAATAAAATAACCATAGATGATGTAGCCTAAACAACAAACATTTATTTCTCACAGTTCTGGAAGCTGGGGAGTCCAAGGTCAAGGTCCCACCAGATTCAGCATCTGGTAAGGACCTTCTTTCTGATTTGCAGACAGCTGCCTGCTTGCTGTATCCTCATATGGCAAAAGGGGAGAGAGAGAGCACACTCTCTGGTTTCTTCTTATAAGGGTACTAGTCCCATCGTGGCAACCCTGCCCTCATGACTTCATCTAAGCCTAATTATCTCTCAAAGCCTCCACCTTGAAATATCTTCATGTGGGAGGTTAGGATTTCAACATATGAATTTTGAGAGGGACACAAACATTCATTCCATTAACAGTATTTACTTGCTTTCTGATTCAATCTCCTTATTTGTCATAGAAAGACTGTTACATACTCCTCTTGAATAGGTTATGGTAGTTTGTGTGTTTCTAGGAACTTGTCCATTTCATCTGAGTCATCTGATTTGTTTATAAAATTGTTCATAATATTCTGTTATAATTTTTTTTATTTCTGTAAGGTCAATAGTAATGTCCCAACTTTTATTCCAGATATTAGTAACTTGAATCTTCTATTTTTCTTAGTCTACCTATTGGTCCATCGATTTTGTCAATCTTTTCAAGGAACCAATTTTTTATTTTGTTGATTCTCTGTTGTTTTTCTTTCTTTCTTTCTTTCTTTTAAGATTTTATTTATTTGACAGAGAGAGACACAACGAGAGAGGGAACACAAGCAGGGGGAGTGAGAGAGGGAGAAGCAGGCTTCCTGCGGAGCAGGGAGCCTGATGCGGGGCTCGATCCCAGGACCCCGGGATCATGACCTGAGCCGAAGGCACTTAATGACTGAGCCACCCAGGCACCCCGATTCTCTGTTGTTTTTCTATTTACTATTTTATTTATATCCTTTTTAATCTTTACCATTTCCTTCCTCCTGCTTACTTCGTGTTCATTTGCTCTTCTTTTTCTACTTCCTTAAGGTGGAAAGTCAGGTTATTGATTTGAGATCTTTTTTGTTTTTATTTTTATTTATTTATTTATTTATTTTTTATTTTTTTAAAGATTTTATTTATTTATTTGACAGAGAGATAGATAGCGAGAGCAGGAACACAAGCAGGGGGAGTGGGAGAGGGAGAAGCAGGCTTCCCGCCGAGCAGGGAGCCCGATGTGGGACTCGATCCCAGGACCCTGGGATCATGACCTGAGCCGAAGACAGACACTTAACAACTGAGCCACCCAGGTGCCCTCTTTTTTGTTTTTAATGTAGCCATTTATAGCTATGAATTTCCCTCTGAGTACTGTGTTAGCTGCAGCCTTGAAGTTTTGATATGTTTGTTTTCATTCATCTCAAAGTATTGTCTAAATTCTGTTGTGATTTTTTTCATTGATCCACTGTTTGTTTCAAACTGTGTTTAATTTTCATGTAGTTGTGAATAGTCGATTTCCTTCTCTATTGATTTCTAATTTCATTCCATTTGGTCAGGGAAGATATATTGTATGGTTTTGATGTTTATAAATTTACTGAGTTGTGTGGTATGTGTGTGTGTGTGTGTGTCTTAATGTATGGTCTGTCCTAAAGAGTGTTCCATGTACACTTGAGAATAATGTTTATTCTGATGTTAGGTGAAGTGTTTTATATATGTCTGTTAGTTCTAGTTGGTTTACAGTGTTGTTCAAGTCCTCTATTTCCTTGTTGATCTGTCTAGTTGTGTGTCTATTAATGAATATGGGGTCTTGAAGTCTTCAGCTATTATTGTTGAATTGTCTATTTCTTCATTCAATCCTATCAGGTTTTGCTTTATATATTATAGGGCTCTATTGTTAGCTGCATATATGTTTATGATTGTTATATCCTCTGAAGACTGACACTTTAATTAATATATAATTCATTGTCTCTTGTAACCTTTTCTCATTTACTTTTTTTAAAGATTTTATTTATTTATTGAGAGAGAGAGAGAATGATAGAGAGAGAGCATGAGAGGGAGGAGGGTCAGAGGGAGAAGCAGACTCCCTGCTGAGCAGGGAGCCCAATGTGGGACTCTATCCTGAAACTCCAGGATCATGACCTGAGCCAAAGGCAGTCGCTTAACCAACTGAGCCCCCCAGGCACCCACCTTTTCTCATTTAAAGTCTACTTTTTTATGCTATTATAGCCATCTCAGATCTCTTTGAGTTACCAATTGCCTAAATGTAATTTTCCATTATTTCACTTTGAAACTATATGTGTCTTTGGGTCTAAAGTGAGTCTTGGTGCTTGGGTGGCTCAGATGGTTAAGCATCTGCCTTCAGCTCAGGTCATGATTTCTGGGTCCTGGGATCAAGCCCCATATTGGGCTCCCTGCTCAGCGGGGAGTCTGCTTCTCCCTCTCCCTCTGCCTGTCCCAAACTCGTACTTGCTTGCTCTTTCTCTCAAGTGAATAAATAAAATATAAAAAATAAATAAAGTGAGTCTCTTGTAGATAGCAAATAGTTAGATCCTTTTAAAAATCCATCCTGCCAATATCTGCCTTTTCATTGGAAAGTTTAAGGCACTTACATTTAAATAATTACTGGGATGCCTGGGTGGCTCTGTCAGTCGAGTGACCAACTCTTGATCTTGGCTCAGTTCAAGATTTCACAGTCATGGGCGCCTGGGTGGCTCAGATGGTTAAGCGTCTGCCTTCTGCTCAGGTCATGATCCCAGGGTCCTGGAATCGAGTCCCGCATAGGGCTC